CAAATGGAGTCACTATACTTAAAATATAGTGACACCATTTGTGAAATAAACTGGTACGAAACAAACCAGAACCTCAAAACACTGTCAGGATCTTGAATGAAACATTAGACAGCCTATCCCACATTTTCCCCCCAGTGAAAGTTTACTGAATCTATCAACTATCCTTTCCTCTTCGGGCAATAAGATGTAGCTTGTGAAGCTCGGCTTTTTAATGTTTTTAAGTTGCATCACAATCTATATAACGTTCATTTATTTCTGCTTAACAGAATGCCTTTGGACTGTTAAGGTACAGTAATGTTCTTGCTACATAGCTAGCCTTTATGCACAGCTACAGATTTAAGATTTACAAAACTACTGTTCATTTTAAGCAGATTCACAGCTATCTTCAAAATATTGAATACGTGTTCCCTCCCATATAGGTGGCTGAACAAATAATTAACCCTTTTGGAGAGGATGATGATGATTTTGAAACTAATAAATTGATAGACAGAAACTTTCAGGTGAGTCTTATATAAATACATAAAATAGGAAATGTGCTACTTAGATGAGGCACAAATTTTACCTGGTCTAGAAACTGGTGCACTAGGATGTTAACTATTGCTAGTGATTTAAAATGTCCTTACGGCAGCTACAACAGCATGAAATTAATCTGGGAAATCTGGGTAATCCTAGCCTTTCTCAACCCGATGCTGTCAGATGTTTTTAATTTCACACCGTATGGCAAAATGGCACCAAAAGCCTATCATAAGAATAACTTCAATAATCTGGCGGGCATTGTTGATTCGGACAGCCACTCAAATTGCTCTGAGTCTCAACATCTGCTTTTCGTTTTTTTCTAACTCTGTGAAAGCAGACATTAAAAGGACAATTATGCAAATCAAAGATTTGAATCTAACATTAAAGCACAATAATTAACAGACATTTAGAGTTTCACCAGCTACTCTTTAAAAACAGAAGAATTCTCTTTTTTGGCTAGGTATCGTTGCTTTCAGTGGATGACATGTACCAGAACTTGCCTCCAACCGGGAAGGACAAATACTGGAATGAATCTACAGCTCAACTACCCTACACAACGGCCACAATAGCAGAGACCTTGAAACCTTCCTTCATGGGCTCTACTTTTGATATGCGGTAAGTTCAACTGCTAAATGTGTTTGTTGTCAGACAACTTACCTATCGAGGCTGGCAAATATGACAATTGCCTGGTAGAATCATAGCCTCTGGCTTTGTGAACCTCCTCATCCAAATTGATAACTTGATAGATATAAACTCTCATGTAACCTATGAATATTCATGCCTTCATAAAAAGTTCGGATAATTATCATATTAAAGCAAGATAATTTATTCTTTCCAATTCCTATCCTGGAAAATTTCTAATTTTCTAAAGAACTGAACATTGGAAGTTGGGGGGGTGTCAAGCAAGTTTCTGCTTGAAATAAATTTTAAGGAAATTGAAGAGGAATAAACAGCATGATTGACATTCATGAAAGCATCAACAAGCACGGTAACAAGGCAATTGATTGATACTAGTTGGAAACCAAATGATGCAACACTCCCCCTAAATACTCAGATGAAATCTGATAACACTTTTTGCAACTAATAAATGTTATTAAAAGATATAAGCTTCCATGACTTGCAGCTTGCTTTAACCGATGCACCAGACTGAATTTTAACCAGGCTAGCACAGCTCTCCTACAATCCCATATATCCACTGACATTTTCCTTCAAGATATCATTGAATTCTCACTTTCATAAGCTATAACCACCATGTCCATGAGGTTTAGGACAATTGAAATTAAAACCCAAGAGCAGCTTATTGATTTCTTATATTTCACCGTAATGTTTTGGGTTTTTTTCAAAGAGAAAATCTTAACAGTTATCTCAGTTTTCCAATTTATCAAAACTGTAGCTTTATATTATTTCCACTTCAATATTGTAATATTTCTTCCCGCTTCCATTTACATTTGGAGGTTTTTAGCTTCTTGGGAGCCTTTCCCAGGAAATTCAGTTGTAAAATAGTAAAGAAAGAATCAATATTCTCACCCAGTTCCAAACATGCTGTTTACGATGCCTTAGGTAGTGCTTTTTTTTCTCCTTTGGTTGTCAGCAGCTAATAACTGGCCACAGGAATGTAGCCGGTCTTTCCCTTGCCGGTTTGGAGGGCTTTCCTTGGATTGAACAGAAAGACTGCCATCTCTCCATGATCAACAAAGCACCTCTCCTCTTCACTGCCTCTTTGGGGTGATTTTAGGTCCTTTTCAGGGCCTCCAGCAGGGCGAAATCGGGCGCGGAAGGCAGAGCCCTGCCTTCCTGCGTCCATCTCACCACAACACAAACCAGAAGTCATCTGTGCAATTAATCTTAAACTGACACAGAAATATAGCTAATACTGAGGTTTCACATAAGGCAACATGTTCCTGCAAATAAAAACAAATTCTACATTAAAGCAAATTCTACATTTACCAGAAGGGCACTAAGAGCACATGGAATTATGTGAAATTTCAGACACTTCCCACAGGTGGCAGTGTATAGCACAGGTATTCTATTGTACTCAACAGATTCACTCCAAGAAGCTATTGTGGCTGGAATATTCTACTGTGGAATATGCCACAGCATAGGTGCTCCACTATAGATCTGTCCTTCCTTAGTTCTCAAAGAATCATCTCAAGTTCAAATATGCTAAAGGAGTTACTAGCTGGGATCAGACCATAAATTTCTATCACTTGGCTTAGTCAATGTACTTAATTCAGTGAATTTTTACTGAAATCAGTAAAATATGATCAGTCAATTTATTGCTTCACAAATGAAGGCAAATATACGTGTCCCAGATTAATGTGAGATTGAATTTGGGTCGGTCAAATGTGACTATGTAGAGCAAACGGAGTGGACACTAACCACCAGATTGCAAGAACGTAAGCAAGCGGTCAGACAAGGAGACCCTATCTGATTGGTAGCCTCAAAGTGCAATGAACAAGGACACTCATTTAATTTTGCAGCTGCTAAGATCATTGGCCATGCAGGCAGCCAGGGAAATGATTGAAGCCTGGGAAACGGGCCCCTTGTCAGTTAACAGGAATGCTGAATTACCATCAGCCTATCAAATACTTCGGAGCCGAGGGCTTGGCAGCACAAGGAAACAACAGCCAATCACCAGCCATAAACACACCAATCAGCCAATAGGAAGGCACCACATAAAACATAACTCACAGAACAGCCCAAGGCACGTATTCCGGTAGAGAGAGGTTCCTTGAAGATGGGCTCCAGTATGAGTCCTAAAGCTTGGAAGAGTGAATCTCTGGTCCTGGTGACCGACCCAAATTCAACCTCACAATTTATTGCTTCGCAATTGGTCAGTTGATATGAAATCGTGAATTATCATTTTTCATTTCACTCAGTTGTGCATATGCTAAATCGTCTTTTCCTCTTTTGTGTAGGATGAGTGATGACCCAGAGCAGAACCAGCAGGTCGATGCATCACCCAGTATGAACCGCATACAGACCCCCTTGCTCAGCCGCTTTTATGCTGCTGCTGCCTCTCCAGCAATTAGCCTCAAAAATTTTGGGAAGGGCAACCGGATTTCCCACCCTCAGTTACTGCGCTTGAGATCCGAGGGTATCTTTCCTTCTGCCAGTCCCAATTTCAATCGCAGAGAAGATCCAGATGCTGTTGGCCGTATCGACGAGGAAGAAACAGAGGACGAGGAAACCAGAATTAATGAGACCTGTGCTCCTCTCAGTGCAGAAATAGAGAGAAAAGACATACCCATTGTCACCGTGATAGGATCCCTAGATGACAGCATCAGCAGTACTGAGCAGCCCTCTAGCTAAGGTCAACAGATAACCAAGATTTCTAGCTGCAATTGTTTGTTGATCAACTGTGGAGATACTTTCAAAAGTTGTATTTTTACAAATTACAGATCCCTCCCATTTTCACCAGCATAAGGGCAAGCAAGTATGGTTGCAGTGAGATAAATTTCTGAACTCCTAGGAAAGTAAAAAAAATAAAAGTGGGCTCCTATGTTCACCTTCCAAGAGTCACCTCCTTTATGGTAAACACATTGCCATTTATCTGGCCATAGACCCCTTTTCACTCAAAATTAACCTAGCATGTTGCTCAGAACCTAACCTTTGTGCCTTCCGTATTTAGCCTTCTTTGTGCCAGATGTATTTACAGAGATACCGGTTATGTATTTTCTTTAATACATTTAATGCCATAACCAAATTTTGTTTACCTTATGATTAATAAATAATCTTTTAAAACTGTGTGTTCTGAAACTTTTTTATGATATAGGTATCTGAAGAATATTGAAATCCAGAGGAGCCAAATATTTAACTAGGAAGATACTGTGTTAATAATTCTTAATTTATTTCATTGGAATCCACACAATTTGAGAATTCAGCAGCATAACCTTATTTATTCAGAAGTAAATCACACGACTCTTAAGTGAAACTGACTCCTCAATAACGTTTTTAAGATTGTGACAAGGAGAAAAATGAGGTCACTGAAAAATAAGCTGCACGCTAAATATAAAAGTTCTCTCAATGAAGGAGCAACACTTAGATTTGCTTATTATATTCCAGTTGCTCAATTTCCCTTACACATTCGTCCAGCTTTCCACCAACTTATACTTCAGCAACTGTATAGTTTAATTTCACACAAGGTTTAAGCATTTCTAAAAATCTACCCCATTGTGCCTCCATTTTCAACTGGGGAATGGCAGCAACAACAGGTCTTCTCCCAAATAAAAATGTAACAAGTTTAGAAAACGAAATAGCTTTCGAAAGGATCAGTAAGAGAAAGTATCATTGAGTATTGTTTTTCTTGGGGCTGCAGTTAAGTCATAGTTTGGCCTACAAGGAAACACATTGGCGCCAAAGTGAAGCAAGCCCAAACGTTCTTCCCAACATGAGGACTATAGTCCACAATATTCGTATAAATTCCAGTGCTGACCACCGATATACTACTTTGTCCTAATGCCCATAAATAACCACACTAATCATTTATAACAAGACTTTTGAGATATTTATTAAGCCTGTTAAGATACAATAAATGGGTTCATTTGCCTTTTCTGGCTTTGATCTTCCTCAGATAGAATTCTAGCTCCTTGCCTTCCAGAATGTAGCCATCTGCTCGGCCACACTGTCCAGGTCTGGAGGCAATGCAAGCTGAAAAAGGAAAGGACAAAATTAAATGAAAAAGTGTCAATTAAGACCAGTGAATAAGCTTCTTTAAATGCAAAACCTTTCTTGCTATTAACTCCATATTAACGCAACTATGGTCCATCTTCTCACTAAGTGTAGGCCTTTAAAAATTTAACGGCCTTCCCACAGATGAAGTTACCTTCAGAACTTGAAATGTCACCACTCACATTCAGCAGCAGAACTGGACAAAGTTTTCATCACAAGGTCAACTTCAAATCCCTGGTCAATTATGCAGGATAACATGGTGATCACCTGACACTTGAATTCCTGGTTCTAACTTGTATAAAGTAGCAACAACTAGAAAATAGCTCTAACAATTGTCAAGCTAAGTATTATTCCAAGAGTTGAAACAAGTAAATCCTGCCCTAAAGAAGCTACAGATTTCTGTCAACTCTGAGTATAAACTGCTACCATCACATAATTTATCAAAATTGTACATCTGTGTAAATCTTCTGCTGTGCCTAGCAAGCTCAGTTGTCTGTTTTTTACATCTTACCAAGTAGCTTTCCTTGTTGGAACTGCTCCTCCAGGAGGCTACTGATCTTGGCATTCTTTTTCCGCTCATCATACTTCTTCTGAATTTTCTTTGAACGTTTTTTGTTTAAAATGTCTTCCTCCTCAGGAGTCTGGAACGAAAGCAGAAGTGGCTGTTACTTCCCATAACTCCACAAACACCTGGAACATTCAGCACATTTTGGGGTTGCAAGATTAAAAACTAGCATTGAACAAAGCATTCTGTGCATAAACTCTTTTGCACATAAAAAAAACAACTTGTTCTATGCCTAGACCAGGGGTAGGCAACCTTGGCTCTTTTATGACTCATGGACTTCCTGCTGGCTCAGGAATTCTGGGAGTTGAAGTCCATGAGTCATAAAAGAGCCAAGGTTGCCTACCCCTGGCCTAGACCAAAAATGTGTCATGTGCATAAGTGGAAGGGAAAAGAAGACTGAGGTGGGAGAGGCCACCCTGTGTGGTTGGATATACTGCAAAGTCTGATTAGCTTTGGTCACTTGCCAATTTTCCACAACTTGAACAGTATTTTATTCAACCAGCCTATCTCCCCCATTTTCCAAGCCCCATTTTTTTCTCCACCTGCAGCTACCGATGCCCACTTCCTTGTAGTCAGGAAAGAATTGGAAATACGAGAGCGCCAATTAGATGTGCAGTGTCTGAATAAACACACTGATAGTGGCAGTCAAGGGAAGGTGCTAAGAATGTACAAATAATGTACACACGTAGGCCACCTAGAGGAAGAGGTATAGATGTGAGGTGCACAGGTCTTGTCCTACTCATCCCATCAAACGTCTCCAGATTTTGTTTCAGCCAATACCCAGGGCAATCAAAATGCTTTGGGTTGTGCCAAATTGCAGCCTACCCAGAATGGTTTGGCAGAATTACTGAAGCAAACTATTTGTTTGGGTTTGTGCATACTAATAATACAATCTACACAGTTGACCGGGGTGCCGAACTCTTTGCTACTTTAAAACAATTTCCAAATAAATTTAGATCTAAGCACGGATGGGATAACAGACTATAAGCATTTTCCAATCTAGAACCCACAAACAATAATTTATAGAATCCTTTTTATTCAAAATGTTTGCTTCCGTGCTTCAGCGCTAAGATGCTCTAAATTAAAAAGGGACCCTACACAGCTTGGTCTCATGTCTCCTTCAGATCAGTAGATATGCCATCATTCTCTTTCAGCAGCAGAACTGGTTAACAGTATCATCATTAGAAGACAAAAGTATTTTTAAACCTCTGAGTAGAGTATTGTTACCTACCAGCTTGGCGCCCTTTTTGCGCCCAAGGGGCAAGGCATAGTGGGCCTCATACCAGTGTCGGTATGGTGTGCTGTCAATGAGGACAATGCAGTTTTTGACCAGGGTCTTTGTGCGCACCAACTCATTATTGGATGCATTGTACACTACATCAATTATTCTGGTTTTGCGGGTACAGCCTGTAACAAAAGGAATTTATTTTCAAGAGTAAAAAATAACTGGTATAAGAATCTCATGGACAGATAAAAATAGGCCTTCACACTGTGCGGGGGCTGCTTCCATTTCCAAAACCACCCCATTTAAAAGAATAAAGAGCAGAATTTAAAGAATAAGGAGAATTTACAAACTGCAAAGCATATGTGACTCTACAACACAAGCTTGCCCCCTTTACGGATATGTGCAACATCACTGATGATGATGCAAAAGGGGCCAAGCTTTGTATCTCTGCAAACATCATAATCAGCACTCTTAATTAGAAAATACAAAGAGAGTCTCTTTCATCTTATATTACATCTCTTTCAGCAGCCCCAATAAAGTCCTCATAACCAAGTTCAATAACAAATATGAAATAAAGTAAATACGGAATCTGCAGTGGAGTATTAACCTCACCAACCAAATACAATACCAGGATTATGAATTGACCAATTAGGTACACTTGAGTAGGTACAAAGCTACCCTCTTAAGCAAGTCTGCAACTCTTCCCTCCTCCAAATACTAGTGGGGTAGCAAACTAAACATGCAAGCAAATGTTCAAATTTATTGTATGGTTGTTGTTATGCTTGTACCATCTACAACATTGTCTCTTCATCACTAAATAACAGCCTTTAAATCCATGCCAGGAGCTTGTTTAAAGTAAGCTAATATTTTTCATTATTTCTATCTCAACCCCTCAGTTTTTACCAGTCTTGAACAATACCTTTTAAGCTTATATAAACAATTTTGTCTCCCATTTAACATTCCTATAGCAACAATGCATACATACTCAGGGTAACTATGACACTCTTATCACCGAGAGCTAGGAATTCACCAAAGCTCTCTTAAGGTCAAAGTTATCATCACAGTTTTCTTATTTGTGCTTTTTGGTTACTAAATCCCCCCCCAAGCTAATACTCTACAGAACATCTACTTCACACTTACATTCAGATCCCCAAGAGAAGTTTCCAACATCCAAACGGAGAGCACGGTATTTTTTATTGCCACCACGAACTCTTACTGTATGTATTCTTCTGGGGCCAATCTGTAACAAAGTACCACAGGTTTGTTCAGATGCAGCAATCCGTGGAACTAAAATCTTGCCTCAAATGCCCATCCTACATGGGCAACATGGTCAGTGTAACTATGACAACCCCTAGCACTGGTGACTGTGAAAAAGACCAGAACAGTCTACACACCCACCTAAGGTGTACTTCTCATCACTCCAGTTGCCTCCACATCAAGTATTTCCAAACTAAAGCACTATGCAATTATCTCAACATGACCAAAGTAACTCTGGATTGGAGTTTACCTCAAATCTTTCAAGGATTACTGGAATTTCAAATTAAAGATATGGTGCCCCGATTAAGCATTCCACCATGCATACCCAACACTTGGGTATATCTAAAGTAACTTATATCTGCTTTACAGATAAACATCAATCATTACTAACTAGATATAAAACAGTATTGCAATTAAATTCAGGGACACCCTAATTATAACAGATAGTTCTTAAAAACACATGTGTGCATAACCCATACTATTATTTTATCAGAGAGAAACAGTTGTGTTACAAACATATCATATAAAACATTTATCCTTTACCTCAGGGGTCCTTCAAACTTGGCCCTTTTATGATTTGTGGACTTCAACTCCCAGAATTCCTCAGCCAGCATTTGCTGGTTGAGGAATTCTGGGAGTTGAAGTCCACAAATCATAAAAGGGCCAAGTTTGAAGACCCCCTGCTTTAGCTGGACATTATTTTGGAATTAACAAACTTCTGATTATCTGCTATTAATACAATATTCTGGATTAGTCAAGACTAGAAGCAAAGCGCGTTTGAATTAAAGTTTCCACTTGTTCCTGCTGCCTGGAGAGGGCTTCCCAGCTGGCCTACAGCAATTCACATTATTCAGGAAACACACACCCCTTAAATACTTTACTCTTACCGAGAGTAGTCTGAACTCTTCCCAAACATTCTCCCCCTAAACCAGTGTTTCTCAACCTTGACCATTTTAAGGCATGTGGACTTCAACTCCCAGAATTCCACACGCCTTAAAATGGTCAAGGTTGAGAAACACTGCGCCTAAACCATTAATCGCCCGTACTTTGGTATTGGCAGGAGGTCGTCCCAACTCATACTTTCTTTTCTTATGGTAGGGCTTCCGCTTTCCCCCGGTCTTGCGGCGCTTGTGCCAATTATCCCTGGAGATACCTGCGTAAAGAGAGGGGGAAAAAAATATCAAATGAAATGGATGCATTAAGTACGGGTCCCTAAACTTGTCCGTCTATGGCTTAGGAGGAGTTGCTTGTGCCCAGGGTCGCTCAGTTCTCCAAGGTAAGTTTCCGCATGGCTTACTCGGCCCTAATGCAGCAGTGGAAGAAGTTTCATCATTGCAACCTCGGGCAAAGGGACACAAAGGGGCTTTAGGCGAGAAAGCGCTGTTGCTCCAAGGGGATCCCCCTCGCTCATTAAGCAAAGGCCGGAGAGGATCCAAAGCAGGCCGAATGGCAGCTGCTCCACAAAAGCAACCGGGATACCGCGCGCACTGAACGGGGTGAACGTCTTTCTCTCGGTTACCCGGCTGGGAGCTCCGCGGGGAGGCCTAGCGGGGCGGATGGCGGCGGATGAAACCACGACCTCCCCTCTCCAGCTGGCAACTCACCCATCCTGCTCCGAGGCGCCGACTGCGAAAAAGAAGGACGCAAAGCATGTCGGGGCGGTTTGTTCCGCGGGAAATCTCGCGGCAAGAGCCTCCCGTCTCAACTGACGCGCGCCGTTGCGTCATTAAAGCGGGACGTTAAAAAAAAAAAAAAAAAGGAGGAAGCGGGGGGTTGTAGGACGTTGATGAGCTTGAGCGGGCGCGGACGGTTTCTTTTATGGCAGGGTTTCTCAACCTTGACCATTTTAAGGCATGTGGACTTCAACTCCCAGAATTCCACAGCCAGCGTTGCTGGCTGTGGAATTCTGGGAGTTGAAGTCCACATGCCTTAAAATGGTCAAGGTTGAGAAACACTGGTTTAGGGGGAGAATGTTTGGGAAGAGTTCAGACTACTCTCGGTAGGAGTAAAGTATTTAAGGGGGGTGTGTTTCCTGAATAATGTGAATTGCTGTAGGCCAGCTGGGAAGCCCTCTCCAGGCAGAAGGAACAAGTGGAAACTTTAATTCAAAAGTGCTTTGCTCTTGACTAATCCAGAATACTGTATTAATAGCAGATAATCAGATAATTCTGGGAGTTGAAGTCCACATGCCTTAAAATGGTCAAGGTTGAGAAACACTTGCTTTATGGTCTGTGTGAAAAGAAGCGAATTCGGCGTACTCGGCTGGTTTTTCAGATAGTTGCTCGACACGGGGACGGGCTGCAAGTTCTTTACGATTGCGAGGCTGTTACTTGGCAGGGATTGCTTTTGAGAGGAAGGTGCCGCACTTGCTGCTTGGATCGGGAGGTTTCCAGTTAACTGATCATCTGTTTTCTACACGGTGTTAAGGCACAAGATAACAGTGTGAAAGAGAGACGTTAAACAGTTGCAAACAATATGCAACGAAGCATATAGATCAGGGCCTTGCCTTTTTTATGACTCGTGGACTTCAACTCCCAGAATTCCTGAGCCAGTCATGCTGGCTCAGGAATTCTGGGAGTTGAAGTCCACGAGTCATAAAAGAGCCAAGGTTGCCTACCCGATATAGATCAGTGTTTCTCAACCTTGACAATTTTAAGGCATTTGGACTTCAACTCCCAGAATTCCACAGCCAGCAATGCTGGCTGTGGAATTCTGGGAGTTGAAGTCCACATGCCTTAAAATTGTCAAGGTTGAGAAACACTGATATAGATGGTTGTAAAAGTAAACTAATAACGAGTGTAGTTTATTGCGTTAGACCTATTACACCTGGACCGTCAGTCTTCGGGCGATCGCTGTAAACAGATTCAATTCTTCGCCATCACGTACATTAAAGTGTAGTCTGCAGGATGTTGAGCTCTGGTCTTGGGAGTGAAATTTGCCTGTTTTCTTCTGCTATTTCACAACATTAGTAGAAGATCTATCTTGGCTCTCAAATAGCCTCTTAATTTAAAATGACCATTTATAAATATTAATAAACAAGCCATCACTAGGGCCTAAGTCATAGCGAATGCCAGTGGTTAGATGCCTTTGTCCAATAGTGAAAAATCTTAGGACTAGACCTGGGTAGAATTTAAGTAGGAGATACCAGGTGCTGTGGACTGTATTGACTGTGAAGCTGGGTCATTTTTCCAGCAGAATATTTGAACAGCAATTCTTTAGAACCTGTTCTTTTTCATCATTTGTCACGATTAAATTCATGGAAATTTATCTTAGATCTCATGACTGGAGCCTCTCCTATTACTGCATACAAAATGGATTTTGGTCTAGTTGAGCTGATACATTTATGGTACCAGGGTGCACACTTTCTCTAGTCTGAGATGCTAATATTCCTCTGAAGTGTATAAATTTCTATTTTTTTCAACTATTTAACTAGGAATATAAGTCAGTGTTAGTCTTTTGCTGATGCCTAGTTATCAGAAATACTAACACATATACACTGATGGGTTTAGCACTTGAGAAATAAATTGTGTATATGTATATATGTATACACACACATACTGTATAATTTATTTCTCAATAAATTATAAGCATTGCTTTTTACCATGTCCAGGATACAAAGAAAGGATCTTACTAATTACAATTCCTGGTAATTTTCATCTCAATATTCCAAAATGAAGAGCCAGTTTATAGACAGTTAGCACACTTTTAACTTTTGAAAAAGAAAGCAGTTGTATTATTGTTTGTAAAAAAGGTGAAATAAGAGTCAGATCACTTTTGTTTGCAGTTGCTGTAGAAAACCTTTTAAAATGTTTCTGGTCACTTAAAATATTTCTAGTCATGAATGACTTTTTGTCTCACATGGGCATGTACTTTCAAATGGATTATTCTCCACTGTAATGTCTTTTGTCGTTTGGTGCTGTTCTAGATTCAAGCACTGCAAGTAAGGTCATCCAAAGAGAAAGGCATTTTGATATTCTGCTGAAATAAATTCCTCAGAAAGATTCTAAAGTTGTATGCTACATGTTTTTTGTCATGGAAGTAGTTGAAGAACCCACTTAAGGGTTCTTCAACTACAGGAATGTTTGGAGGGATATGACTAATTGCTTTAGGAGCTTTTGTGTATAGTGCTTACTATGCAATCCTTGTGACATAGTCCATGGACACCTGAAAGAATACATGAATATAAATACTTTTTATTATGATCTTAGGATACAGAACTGTTTACTAATGCAGCACTGTCAACATTTAAAAAAACTAATCCAAAAACAATTACAGAAGAATGTATTCTTTCCAAACTCCGTATCCCAGTATAATTTTAACATGCAATTTGAAATACTTGCATCACACAGATGCTTTTTGCCTAGCTGGCAAGGGGAGTGCTGCATGAAGTTGAGGTTTATTGATTTCTATTATGTACAGTAGTCAGACTGACTCTACAAATTAAATACTTTGTAGGTTGTCTTCCTTTAATCCTAATTAATGATTGCTAGCTTGGCAAATCTTTTTTTTAATTTTTTTTTATTTTTTTTTTATTTTTTTTAGCAAAAACCCCTTTGGTGTCCTAAAACAATCAGCGGGCTCTAGTATCTTGTTCCTTGACCATTAGGAATGTAGTGCTTTGGATGCCAGTACAGTCTAGGAGATTTGGCAGATTAAAGTATGGATGTGCTCATAAAGATCTCTTCTGTGGGAATTTAATTATAGCCAACCTTGAATGATCTTCAAAACTAAGGGATGCACCTGGGTAGTATTTGGATAGAAAATTACCAGGAAATTTCAGGACTATAGCCTATATTAAAAAATTGAAAGAAAAAAAAACATCCTGGAAGAAGGCAAAAGCAATGGCTTCTATATTATTCCAAAGAGAATTATGCAAAAGTGCCCCGAAAGTCATACTTCACTTGATAGAAAACCATTTTTTTAAATGTTCAAATGCTAAAACTTAAAAATATTACAAGTTAGTGAATCTTGACAAAAGCAATACATGCACTACTATACCTCCATGCTCCTTGTGTACTATATCAGAAATTAAACATTAGATTTATACAAGGATAATCACTGCCCAATTTATCAGTTTTGTTATATACTTAATGTGAACATTTTCATTACCGATGAGAAATTCATATTGTTTTATAGATATCCTTTTTAAATATAAGCTTATCTTACGTATAGGACTGGAGTGATTCATTTATTCATCAAGAACAAGCAAATTAGATCTCTGCTTTTGAAAAATTACTGCTATCTGAAGAGTGAATTACAAGAAAGTCTTATTTAAGAAATCTAAACTAATAACTTGAGAAATGACAGACTCAGAATTGGCAAACTGATGCAAAATATTTATTCCAAGTTAGTTATCTTTTGATGCAGTAGTTTTCCCCCTCATACAGACTCAATGTGATAGTCACTTTTTAAAATCTGTAAATAATGTTATCAAAATAATCTTAATCTTTGAAATCCCACAAAAATTTTATATTTTAACAATCCACCCTGAATATCAAGGTTGCAAGAACACAAACAATTCCTATATCCAAATATTTTACAGCTGTACCCCCCAAAAAAGAAAAACCAAACACGCCTGGTTAAGTGATGAAGCTCCCCGAGCCGCCAAAAAATAAAAAAGTTCCATGTTATTAGCATTAATTTAACACAATTAGAACTTCCGTAGCCATTTTGTCATTGACAATGATTGTTTTAGCACATTATTGCCGCACGACATTTTGCAATGTGGACGGCAGTATGAGAAGCTTGTGGTTGCCCAACCTAAGTCTTTTGCATCCTGCTCCTGATGAGACTGAACCCACGCCTTGCTCCAGAAGGCGGAATGGATTGTTCTCTTTGAAGCACAGAAGGGCAAAATCAAAAAGTAGTAAGCCGATAGCTTTCTTCTTTGGGATATAATTCTTTCCCTTGTGCATGAAGTTTTCAACAATAAAAAACTGAACAGACTTGAGATAGAATAAACTCTGCTTCATTCGAACCCCAAACATTTATGTGCTGAACTACAAACTTGAGTTTGCTGGGTTGGTTTTATATTATGGATTTTGGGTGCCCATCTTCAGGCATCGTCATCAGAAGTTTCACTGCTACTTGTTTCTGTGTCTGACTCTTCAAACTCTGTCTTAAAAGTGCTTCTCCAGTAGGAGAATAGTTGACTGCTGCCTTGGCCTCGAAGAAATTCACTCTTTCGAAAGCCATTTCTTCTTAGCTAGAGACAAAGGAAAGAACATTTTCATACTTGTTTCTCCTTTTCATTCAAAATAAACTAAAAATGTATTGTTCTCAGATGCACCAAAGCTAAATTATTTAATTTTGACCTCATAAGTTTATTGTAGTCAATGTTCTCAGAGGTTTCAACACATGAGTTACAAAATAAAATGATGCTAAAAGAGTAAGCAGTTGAACATACATACCTGCTCTGACTTTATTTGGAACTCTTTGAGCTCATCCTCTGTGAGGGGAAGGCAATTCTCATCGTTTTCAGGATATTCCTGCCATCCCATTGCTTTCAGTAATCTAGCATGGAAAATGTAAAGAATAAATAGAAAAGGGACTGGATTAAAGATGTCATTAGGGAGGAAAAGAGATTTATTAAATCTCTTTTTAAAGCACAAGAAAATTCACAGCTATTTTACAATATTGCTCTGTAGGAGAGAAATACTTTAATGAAGCAGGTTAGGCTAAGAGTTAAATGAAGCATTTTAAAAAAGTGAGAATGTG